TTAATAATAATAACTTTTTAAATATTTTTTTTTGGTAATTATTATTTTGGCGAGGGGTGGCGGCTACTCAGTACTTAGTGCAGTCGTAGGAGTAGGGGGCGGCGTGGCGGTATAGGGAGGGCGCGGATCTGTAGGGGATCTGACAGGCGGAGTTGGTGCTCACCTGGTGGTCGCTGAGCGAGGCGCTTTCCATCCCCAACCGGTGCGAGGTGAACATCTCCCGGACGTTAGGAAAAGTCTGCTGTTGGGACCCAAAAGCGTGGCCGGGCAGGTGGCTCAGCTCAGCCCCGTGGTTGAGGTACCAAGAGGCGGTGGGTTGACCCCCCCCCGCCGCCCCTCCACCTCCACCACCACCACCACCACCACCGTGGGGGTGATGCCCGCTCCCCAACCCGCCCTCCTGCCCCGAGGACAGGCTCAGGGCACCGAGGGGCGACGGGGCGCCGGTGGGATGCTCGGCCAGCCCTTCCTCCAGCGGGGCGGGGGGCACGCACATGTGGCCCGGCCTCTCGCCGCTGTAGAGGCTCATGGCCCTCATGCTGCAGTGGTAGCTCCCACTAGTGTCCAGGGCTTGGCTACACGCCGCGCTGTAGCCCGACGGTTGCCCCGTCGAGGGGTAACCCAAAGGCATCCCGGCGCCCGTCCTGCCCGAGGAGGCGGCACTCACCGGGCTGAGATCCCCCGCGGGGGAAGTCCGCAGGGTCATGATGCTCTCCACGCTGAAACCCGGTAAACCGTTACCGGCGGGGTGATGCTCGGGTAAGGAACCCTCGGGGGAAGTGGCGGCGGCGGGGGGGGATGCGGCGCTGCGGGGGCTGTCCCGCAAGGCCCCGCCGCTGGCCGGGCTCAGCGTTTCCACTTTGGTGATCACCGGGAGCTCGGGAGATGCCGTCTCGCTTTTGATGACCACCTTCTTCTCGGAGGCCGGCGCCGAAGCGGAGGAGGAGGAAGAGGAGGAGGAAGCTTCCTTAGGGATGTCGGCTCCGGGCAGCCCGGGGGGTTTGGGCTGCTCTTTCAACAGCCGTTCCCGGGCCTCCTCCTTCTCCTTGGAGACATCCTTCTTCTTGAAGCGTCTCCGGCGGCGCAGGAAGCTGCCGTTTTCGAACATGTTGTAGGAATCGGGGTCCAGGGTCCAGTAGCTGCCCTTGCCCGGTTTCTTGTCGTCGCGGGGCACCTTGACGAAGCACTCGTTGAGGGAGAGGTTGTGGCGGATGCTGTTCTGCCAACCTTGCTTGTTCTCTCGGTAGAAAGGGAAGCGGTCCATGATGAACTGGTAAATCCCATTGAGCGTGATCTTCTTGTCGGGGGCGTTCTGGATGGCCATGGTGATGAGGGCGATGTAGCTGTAAGGTGGCTTCACCAGGTCCTTGGGGGCGGCGGGTTGGTGGGGGTGGTAAGGTCCGTAAGAGCGTCCCATCCCCGCCGCGTACTGCTCGGCGTGGCCCGAATAAACGCTCATGGGGTTGCCCATGCCGCCGTACGTCCCCGCCGTCCGGTAATAGTTCTGCTCGCTTAAATACGGCACCACTCCCAAAGCGTTGGGGTCCGAGACGGAGTAGCGAGCCTGCATCATGGAGAAGGGGGCTTCCCGCGGCCGGGGAGGAGAGGAAGAGGAGGAGGAGGAGGGTGGAAGGGCCTCACCCCCGTCCGGGACCCCTCTGCGGAGAAGGAAAAGGGGGGGAAATGAGAGAGAGAGTCTCGGAGACGAGCTCAATCCCGGCGTGTCCTCTAGCAGCGGCACCGCGATAGCATCCTCCGGGTCGCCGGGGCAGGGTGGTCTCTGGCCGCCTCTCCCTCCCTCTTTATTAAGCGGGACACACTACGGGCGGGGGCTGCTGCGGAGCGGGGAGGCGGCGGCTGCCTGCGCGCGGCGGGCGCAGGCACCCGCCCGCCACACACACACACACACACGCACACACGCGCGCGCGCGCCCGCGCCGTACTCTCAAATTATAGAGATATACATATATGTATATTTACACACGGTTAAAAAATTATATCTCACCCCCTTTCTCTGTAATTTTAACGGGTTTGGCCCCAAAAGGAGCCGGCGCTGAGCGGGTCCGGCCCGGGGGCTCCGCCGGCCGGCGGCACGCAGCCTCGCGCTGCACCGAAACGCCGTTTTTAACTAATTTTTTTTTCTTTTTCTTTTTTTTTTAAAAATTTTTTTAATTTTTTTTTTTGATGGCAAGGACGGCGGGAGTCGCGACACCGCTTGTATCGCCCCGCGGTGCCGACATAACGGTGCCCCTGTGCCCGGCAGGTCCTCCTCCTCCCACTTGGTTTTTAGTGGGGTTTTTTTGGGTTTGTGTTTGGTGTTTTTTTTTTATAAATGCATTGATTTTAAGGGAAACAGGCCGGAGGTTCTTTGCCCGGCGCCGGGAAAGGCCACCGGCACCCTTCCCGCCGTGCTCGCCCGGTGGCGAGTGGCATCTCACCCCGCTTTGCCCCTCGCACGAGGCTGCGAGGTTCCTCTGCGGCTTTGGGGCAATTTGAGGGTATTTTACTATTTTTATTACTTTAAAAAAAAAAAAGAATCCAGGGAGCGCATTTAAGTGGCTTTTTTTTTTTTTCTTCTTCTCGTTCCGGCCATCGAGGCGGATTTTCTTGTGCCTGTGAAATCCGCCCCTCTGACTTCTCTCTAATGATTTCATTAGAGGCAATCAGAGGGGGACAATTAGGGACGCGTGGTGACCAAGTGTAAACTCAGGTTTTTGGGAAAACCGCTGCCCAGCTGCTCTGTTCCCGCCCCGGGATAAGCCTGGATCTGCCCGGCGAAGAAACGAAGGTGGGAAACAGAGATTTCCCCCCTCCCCGCTCCGCAAAAAAAAAATAACATATATATAAATAAATAAAATTAGTCACTGTAAAATCGATTCGAGCCCGAAGAGACCGAGATAAAGTTGAAATTAATTAGCTGTCACTTCGGCAGGGCTCCTTCCCGCTGCCTCCCCCGAGCCCCGGCTGCTCCTGCTCTGATTTCTAAGTGGTGATTTTTTTTTTTGGTTTCTTACACTATAATTCTGCCTTGCCCTCCTTGCAATTTGTGGGGCTTCGTAAGGCTTTAAAGAAAGATTATTTCTCCCCCCCCCTTCTTCTCCCCAACCAAAGGCAGGCAGTGATTTTTTTTGGCTGCTGGCGAGAAGGGTCCCTTCCCCGCAGCCGGCTCCGGCCGTGGGAACTCGGCGGGGCTGTTAATTACCGGAGATTTTGTTAATAAGAAAGGAAACGATTTTATGCGATAGACGGGAAAAAATAATAATAATAATAATAAAAAAATAGAGGCAGCTCCTCTACAAGGAGGTATGGGTAAAAATTAATCTGCGATGGAAAAATTGATTGGAAAATTTCGCCGGACGCTTCGAAATCGTTATTTAATTTTGATGGAAATAAATGTAAATGTTCCGGGAGGGTTATTTTCACCAACCAAGCAAACGTCCGGGGGATTTTTTTCTGAAAACAAATAGTAAATTCTGCGAGGTCTGCTGATAATTTTCGTGTAAATGTACGACCACCGAGAAAACATTTATTTATTTTTTTTTTTAATTGAATAATTTGAAAACGACTTCACATTTTTATCTTCGGTTTCTAAAAAAAAAAAAAAAATCGCAATTCTTAGAAATATTAGGGTTTTTTCTTAGCGTACACAGGGTTTCTTAAACAACACAACTTTTTAAAAGGCAGGAATTTTTAAACTCAAAAGCTTGACCAAAGCCATCCCTGCGGCGTCCTAGAGCTGTCCCTTCCTAGAAGCCTGGCACGCTCTCGAGAAATAACCTGGATTGAATCTTACCTCTCCTCGGCTGAAAACTTTGCCGAGATGAATGTCTACAGAAAAAAAAACAACAACCAAACCAAAAACCCAAAAGCAGCAATAGATCTTTGCTTGCTGCGGCTGGGAACATAACAAGAGAATAGACCGAGGGGCTCGGAAAAGCCCAAACTTCAAATTGCAGGAAGAAAAATAAAAATAACTAAAAATCATCATGATGAAAAAAAATATAAAAGCCAGCTTCCAACCGGGGGAGCGCAAAGAGAGGAGTCCTTTCGAGCGAGAGGCCCCGGGGAAGCGCTATCTTCCCCCCCCCACGCCCCGGGCATGGCGGGTTTCTCCCTCCCTTCCTCCGCGGGACTCCCGGTACCGGCGTTTTCCCGAGGAACCCGCTCAGCCCCGGGCGGGCAAGCGGCGGGTTTCCCTCCGCAACTTTTAATTTGCCTTTTGGCGAGCACCGGACAGCAGCGACCCGGACCCTTCCCCTCCTCGGGGGCTCTCCCCTCGCCGGTTGCCCGGGCCCCGGGGCTGCCGGTGCCGGTGGCGGGGAGCGGCGCTCACCTGCCCGCCCCGGGGGCTCGGCGCGGCGTGTGCTGCCACCCAGGGGACACCGAGGGGTTTGCACCGCCCCACCGGCACCGCACCGGCACCCCGGGAGTGCGGGAGGGATGCGCGGGGGAGAAGGAGAGGAGAGAAGGAGAGACGGGGGAAAAAGGGGTCGGAGGGGAAGGGGGTAAAAGAGACAGAGGATCAGAGAAAAAGAGAGTGATCAGGAGAGAAAGAGCCAGCGAGAAGCGTCTGAGAGAGAAAGGGACTGGAGAATGGGAACAAGAGAGAAGGAAAGCATCAACCGCAAAAAGAGAAAGGCAGGGAAAGAGAGAAAGGAAAGAAGAAGAAAAGAATGCAAGAGGGAACGAGAGAAATGAGAAAGAAAGAGAGAGAGAAGGAGAGAAGGAAAGAGATAAAAAAGGAAGGAAGGAAGGAAGGAAGGAAGGAAGGAAGGAAGGAAGGAAGGAAGGAAGGAAGGAAGGAAGGAAGGAAGCCCCATTTTAAAAGCATTTTGATTATTTTGGAATTTGTTTTATATTTTCAAAATAGAACATATTGTCTTCTGTCATTAAAGACAAAATGTACTCTTGTACATATATACTTATAAATTAAATCAATCTCCAAAGATTTGACTTTTATGACAGAAAGAACACTTTAAGCTTCAATTTTTTTTTCCAAAAATTTGTTTCACCGAAAAATAAAAACATTTTATTTTTTTCTAAATTGCAGTGGCATGAAGCTAACTGAAGGAAAGAAACAGAAAGAGAGAAGGAAAGAGAAAAAAGAGAGGAAGGAAGCAAGGAAGCAAGGAAGGAAAAAGAAAAAGAAAGAGAAGGGGAGAAGGAAAGAGGAAGGAAGAAGAAAGGAAGAAAGAAAGAAAGGAAGAAAGAAAGGAAGGAAGGAATAGAGAAGGAAAGATAAAAAAGAGGAAGAAAGAAGGAGGAAGAAAGGAAGGAATAGAGAAGGAAAGAGAAAGTAGGAGAGAAGGAAAGAGATAAAAAAGAGAGGAAGGAAGGAAGGAAGGAAGGAAGGAAGGAAGGAAGGAAGGAAGGAAGGAAGGCAGGCAGGCAAGCTACGTCTTGGCAACGCAACCAGTGGCACCAGTCTGGCTGAGACCAACCAATGCACGTGGCTTTCTGCTCATTCACCATTTTTGCATCTGTACCAGCTACCAACCCAGGAGAGGGCACCCACCGCTGGCTCCAGGGGGCTGACACAAACCCCACACCTATTTCCCAGCAGCAGGCGACGTTGCTGGGCTCAAGCAGGTTAGCCTGGGCCAGCCCCACCTGCCCTCCTGTGCCTCCTTTGCCGGGTTATTGTGTAAGCACAAGAATTCAGTCATAAGCTGTTTATTCACACATGGAAATCTGTTTCACAGTTGTCAGAAAGACTAGTTTCTGGTACCCAGCTAATATTCTGCAGGAACGAAAACCCGATTAAAAACTGTTGCCTTTAAAATTCCTAGCCTATCTTTAATTTTCAATTTCCAAAACCAAAGTGACACCGCCAGTTCAGCGCTCCCCTTTGGGTGCATTTTGTCTGTTTTCAGTGGCTGCCCTTGTGTGTTCAGCCTGCACTTCGGAGAAATGATTCCCGCAGCACAAGGAGTTGCTTTCTCCATTGTTCACAGGGTTAGTATTAATCTGGCACTCCCTTTTTCTAGGTGTTGCCACAAATTGGGGGTGTTTCAAGCTAAGAGCTGCATTTTTGTCTCCTGTATGAAATCTCAGGATTGTTTTTTAACCTCTTTCACTAGAGTATTTTATTCGATTTGGTCAAGTGGGTATTAGAAGTGATTCATGGACCTCCAACAGACTAATTCCATTTACAGGGATGTTGGTGGCCCTGTCTGCTCCCCGCTGAGCAGAGAGACTTTCCAGCAGCATCCGTACCAGCCACACCAGGCTGCTAGAGCTAACGCTAAAGGCTGCTGTACGTGTGACAGAAGAGACCCTGGGAAAGCAATTTGGAGCAAATTTCAGACCTGTACAATGAAAGCAGAGAACTGAACCAGCAAAAGAGGTGTCACCAATTAGCAAACTCCTCATTTGCTTATGACAAAGTGCCCTGATTTCTAGAAAGCCAGCTCAGGCCCTCTTTTTAGGTTTTTTTTTGGAAGCTAAACACACGTAAGGAACAGCTTTACTGGGCGTCTTGCATGGAGGTTGGAGGGAGATGTAGGTGGTCTGGTAGGATCTCAGCCCCCCTCCTTGATTGTTAACGTATTAATTAATGGCACTGTTGCTACCTCACTCACTTCCCCTTCCTCAAAGGAGAGGAGGAGGAGGAGAGCGTGTTGGAGTGGAAACAAGTCCCACGAGCTGCGACGTGGCGATTTGGGGTGACAGCAGACAGACGGACAGCGTCGGCACGCTTGGCAGCCCGGGAGTGCAAATGGCAACGCTGAATTACAGAGAGGTTGTAAATTGCTCACCAAAGGCCCGATCCCGAACTCCCCGCAGAGATATCAAAGTCGCTGGGAGTTTTCCGTGAGTAGGAAGTGGAGGAATGAGCTTCAAACATTTAGGCCCAGCTCCACATGGGTGGTCTATTATGCCTGGACGGATTCCCACTGGCTCCAGCAGCACTCCGAGGTAGTGAAAAGGCTCTTCCTAAATGCACCCCGTTGCCGAACCTGGGGCTTTAAAGTACTTTCTTTGAATGCTTACGAGGGATTTCGGTGGAAAGGTGAAGCCCCAGGCTCACCGCAGCTGCTCCGCAGCGCTCAGCCCAACGCGTTGATATTAAACTCAATTCAAAAAAACACACATTAAGTTGGAAGGGGGAAAGACTCCTGAAAACCAGCAGAGTCCTGGCCTTCGATTCGCGCTGTGAAAAAAAACCAGAAAAAAAACCCAGTTCAGCAATCGACAGCAGCCGCAGAGAGAAAAGGCGTTTGCATCTGCCCGGCTACATCTGTAACTATTCAGAGAGGAGCATCCGAATTTGTTCCGCTTTTTGGGCTGGCAGCGCAACAGTCGGCTCTGACGGTGGATGTGTGTCGGTAGCATCCAAGCCAAGCAGATTAGAAACCAAATTCAAAAGCCATTTCCCCCCCCCTCTCCCTCCCCTCCAGCCTCCCTTTTCCCCGACACACTTTAAAATAAACCTCCGTCTCTTTCATTGTTCCCATGACCCTTCCGTCCCACTCCGCTCAGGAATGTCGGGATTCTCAACGTCCTCCCTCTTCTTGGGGTAATTGTCAAACGACATTAATTCTATGAATAATAAATCGTGTGAGCAAATAATTTACTATTCTGCGAAAGGCAAGCGAGAAGCCTACTTTCCGACAGCTGGGAAACCCAGAAGCCCACGTAAAGGCTGGGTATCGCTTTATCCACCACCAGCCAATATCATATGGAAAAAAACCCCGATTGATTTGGGAGTTTATTTTATGAAAAGTGGGGGTTCCCCCCCCCACCCCCGCCAGCTTTATCACGTGATCGAAAAACCATGGTATTTCCATAAGGTGGGAGACCATTCTCACATTAATGACATAGGGTGTCCTTTTCTGTGTCGAACTCCAGAGGGAACGGTGCTGCTGCAGCTGCTGCTGCAGATTTTGGGGTGTGGGACCCCCTCATGCCCCACTCCTGCCTGAGGAAAGGACCTTCCATTACCCCAGGCTCCCTCACGGCCTTTACACCCCACAAGGAAGGGTGTATGTGTGTGTGTCGGAGCATGGCCTTCCCCTTCCCCTGAGGCTCTGCTCGCCCAGGCGAAGGCAGGGACCCCCAGCCGCCATCCACCCCACAACCCCACTCTTCCATTTCGCCTTCGAGGCCTTTTTGGCCCCTCCGCGCCGCCGTCAGGGCGTGCGAGGGGCGGGGCTAAAGCGGAGGCTCCGCCTCTCCCTCTTCCCCCGCCGCCATGGAAGGGGGCGTGAGGCTGCGCGCGGGTGAGCGGCGCGGTTACGTCACGGCGCGTGGAGCCGGGCCGGGGGGGGGGCGCGAGCGCGGCCGTTGCTCTGAGGGAGGGGAATGGCGGGGCCGGGCGGGCGGCGGTCGCAGCGCTCCCCCGTGAGGCGGCCGCCCCGCCGCCCCCTCAGCTCTGCCTTCCTCCCCCTCAGCTCTGCCTTCCTCCCCCTCCAGGCGCCTCCAAGCAGGACGTGCGGGAGAAGGTGTGGGACTACCTGGAGGCCAGCGGCCTGGCCGCCTTCCCGCGGCCCGTGCACCGCCGCATCCCCAACTTCCAGGTACGGCCACCCGGCTGCGGGTTTGGGCCGCTGCCTTTCCCCTTCCCTTTCCCCCAGGCTGGTAGCATCCTCCTTCCCCAGCTCTCCTGCCTGCTCCTCGCCTGTTGCTGCAGCACGCAAGCAGCTGCGAACCGTGCGTCCCCGCGGGCTGTGCGGTTGGTGAGCGGCGGTGGAGGGTGGCAGAGCTCTGGGAAACACCACGACACGAACAGCATGTGTGTATAATTTATAGCAAATAAAGAAGTGCAGGTATTCAGGGAGAAATTTTTCTCTATGAGGGTGGTGAGGCACTGGCGCAGGTTGCCCAGAGAAGCTGTGGATGTCCCATCCCTGGAGGGGTTCAAGGCCAGGCTGGATGGGGCTTTGAGCGACCTGGTCTGGTGGGAGGTGTCCCTGCCCATGATGGGGTTGGAACTCGATGATCTTTAAGGTCCCTTCCAACCCAAACCGTTCTATGGTCTGTAGCTGGCAAGACATGGCAGGTGTGGGCTGTATTTCAATAAGTGGATGCAAAAGCACCTTGTGAATGAGATAAATATATTTATGTGTTGGCAAACTGAGGCATTCGGAACTAGATTTCATTCTCCAGGGTCTTCAGCAGCTCCATTGGGATGGAAAGCTGAGGTCACCCATCTTGTAGGACTTACGCTAGGAACATACAGTATGTTGCTGAAATGGGAATGGTGGCCAGATTATTGCTGGCAAAATGTTGCTGGGCAGTGGGGAGAGAATCCTTCCTCCTTGTCTGGCTTCATTGTGTCTCTGGGTTGATGGGTGGGAAGAAGAAATAAGAGGACTTTCAAGTTTGCAGTTACTCAGGCAACCGCTTTACCATCTGCCTGTTTTAATCCAAGCTCAAGGTGTGCAGCCATGTATCTGTTGTGTGTTGAAGAGGTGATGACCAGAATAGCATTGTGGGCATGTGTGTTGCGATTTTTTAGCCCATGAGCAGCATTAGGAGATGGGCTATGCCTTTTCTCACGGTACTGGCAGAAACATTCTGCCTTCATTTGCAGCTGAGGCATGGGCATGTGTGTTGGGAATTTTTTAGCCCATGAGCAGCATTAGGAGGTGGGCTATGCCTTTTCTCATGGTACTGGAAGAAACATTCTGCCTTCATTTGCAGCTGAGGTACAATAGATGCTGAAGGTGGTGGAGGAAGCCTGAGACTTTATCATGCTCGTAAGTCAGGTGATAGCATCTTAAATTACAAAAGGAGTGTGTGCTCTGCTAAGCTTGAGCACCTTACTCAGTTAAGAAGTGAATCTTCTGAGTTCAGTATAATATCTGTAAGCCAGGCAATAGCAGCTTAAATTACAAAAGGAGTGTGTGCTCTGCTAAGCTTGAGCACCTTACTCAGTTAAGAAGTGAATCTTCTGAGTTCAGTATAATCTCTGTAAAGAGAGAGCCTTGTTCAGAAAGTCTTCATCTAAAAGAGTCTCTGACTATGGCTTGTGTTTAAGGGAATCAGTTGTATTCATTGACTAAAAAGGGAAATTGCTCTCCAGCTCTCAGTAAGGTGAATGAGGGTGAAGTTAGGCCAAGTGAGTGTACTTACATCCTCTCTTTTTCTGAGGCCAGGAAGGTACTAATTGCTCAGCATCTGTTGGTATGTGAGAGTTTCCCATAGAGAACATCACAAAATTAGGAGTACGTCCCTCACTTAAAATCGGGGGAAATGAGCCTCTATAAGATGAAGGATTGTAAATTCCCATCTCTGCTGTGAACTCCTTGGTGATGCACTGATATCTTACAAAAACAGGGTGCTTCCCACGCTGCGACAAGGCTTCTGGGTTTGCAGGAGTTCAAAGCTGCCAATACTGTAAAAATAAATCCTGATGCTCCCCAGAAGAACGCTCGTTTTCTAACGCTGGAAGTAAGTGGATGCATTCCCTTCTCTTTTGGTTCCTTCCTTCGTGCAGGGGTCTCACCAGGCTTGCTGCTCTATTAAAGAGCTGGATGTGTTCAGCAGAGCACGTGAGATTAAAGTGGATCCTGACAAGCCTCTAGAAGGTGTTCGGCTGGCGGCGCTGCAGGTAATGAAGGCACCTTTGCACCCCTGAGGGGGAGAGTGGGACAGAGCGCAGCGCTTGGTGGCATCTCATGGCCAATGCCTGACATTTCTCCAGCAGGAGCTTTACCAGTCCTAAGCCTCATGCTCAAGCCTAAGGTTGCTCATGTAAGGATGTCTTTGGCATCCTTTTGGCAAAGGTACAGATAGGGTTTGGGGAAGTGAACGTGTTTCTGCAGAGCTATAGCTGTTTCACTGTCATTGTATTCTTATTCCCCAAAACACGTAAGGTAGCCTTGCCTCAAATTGCCCTACCTTTATCACAAGATGAACGTGTGACAGACTTACCTCAGACCTGTGCGTGTTCAGTAGCTTATATGCACGGCTCATTTGTAGACATGCACTTTAGATCAATAGATATTGATCTTATCCTCTGTTTCTTAAATAAAATCTTGTCTGGAATTTTGCTGTGCTGGAGGGGACTCATCTACAAGCACTACACAATCAACAATGCTAACTGCTGTGTATCAAATAAGATGATTGACCACGTGGAGACTTATGGGACAGTAAAAATATTTCTTTAGCAGCCCTCCTCCTTTTAATGTGATAACTTCTTTTGTTACACAGGCAAGGAAGACTTTGTTGGTTCCCACACCACGTCTGAGAACTGGGCTGTTCAATAGGATTGTTCCACCTTCAGGTGCAACTAAGGAGATCCTGCGAATATGTGCCACGTCTCAAGTAGGAATGAAAATGGGGGAGGTCTGAATTAACTTGTAGTAGGATGTTGTGTTATGATAGCCCAGGTAGAGGTTGGAAAAACAGATGCTACCTGAAATACTCTTCTGCTATTATGTAATTCCTGGATTTGTGTATCCATCTGCCTTTTTTTTTTTTTGAGGAAATTTAGTCTTTTTGCTGTATTTTATTAGCAGAATGGTATCGATATTTTGTGAAGTTTTCTTTTGAAATGTGGTGTGTTGCTGCCCTCTGGTGTTAAAACGCCATACTGTACAGCTGAAGTCATTTGGCACTGAGAAACCGGCACTATTTATCCGCATCTTTATTGGGTATGAAAACATAACTTGTTCAAAATGAATTGGCCAGCTCTGTGGGTTTTATTCCTTTCTTTATCTTCTGCTAAAGGCAATAAAGTTCTAGAGTAATCCTGTGTACAACTGAGGGTTGTAAATGGATGGTAATTAGTAGCGACTTTCTTTGTTGGAACTTCTATTAAAGTCATTAACTAATTAGGTTTTTCAGGGTTGAAGAGCACTTTTGAAAGAGACCTGTCTCTTGACCTGCTTCAGGCCCCATATCTGATCTGTGATCTTACCACCATGTGTCTGGCTTTTTCCCCAAGCAGGCATGCTAATGAATAAACACTATTAGCAGTTCATATTTACAAAGGACTGTGCAAACAATTCTTACCACATTGCTGTGAAGTGGATAATGAGCATTATTACTGATAGTCAGCCACAAATTACTGATCTTTTGGGGTTTGTGCTCTACACAGAAAATGTTTGCCTTTGTATTGTGAGGATTAACTCGGCACAAAGTTGAATTGGTGTGAGGAAGATTTACATTATGCTGTACAGATAGTACTAAGAGTGAATGAATCTCAAGATATCTTTTTGAAAGTTCTAAACCTCTGATGTTTGAAAATCCAAGTAAACACCATTTTTAATTTCTGCAGCTTTGGACAGAATTTTGCTAGGATGTGTTCTTTAGAGAAGGGCCTGTCTAAATTTGTGAGAATTAAGAATGTGTAGTGCTCTGATATTCCTCATGGGCATGAATTTACGTATTATGACTTTAAGTTAGTAGTAGGGTAGGAAGTGTCGTTTGCCCTTATTTTTAGAAATAGCTGTCCAGTAAAGGGTTTCAAAGTACAAAGTTTGATCCTAAATAAGTAACCTTGCTTAGAAAAGTGCCCACCTCCCTTAGCTCTCCTTGAAGTGTGCCAAAATTCTTGTCACTGTAGTAGGGAATGTATTCTAGGATTCCCTAGAGGATAACTTTCCAGACATGTACAGCTTGGCTATACATGGAAGAAACACTTGAAAAAGTGGGGAGTTACTTGGATTTATCAAAATATTCTGGATTTCTGCCTCACTGGTTGGAAGACTCTGCACTCTGTGACTGAAATTATATTTTTTTTGCAGGGTATAAAAGAATACAGTGTGCCTGTGGGTCTTGATGGGAAAGCACGAGTGGACTTGGTTGTTGTAGGATCAGTGGCTGTCTCTGAAAAAGGTAAGATAAAGCCTCATAAGGTTTTCAGGAGGAGGGTCTTAAGTCACGATTCACAATGTCAGTAGGTTACACTACGTGTTCCTTTTGGCAGACTCAAACGTGTATTTGGGACTGAATTATGGTCTTGAGTTCTGTCTCGTCTGTGTGGCAAGTCACTGATCCCAATCCAACCAGGAGAAATCAATGCCTGCTTTACACTATGCCACCAGGACTTAGTGTGCAGGCAGCAGAGTGGTTTAGAGCACGCAGGCCAGTGTTTTGGCCTTCAGTAGAACCATTCCAGCAAGCAAGTTTGGTTGTTTTGGGGTTTTTTTTGTCTTTTAAAAGAATCAGAGGGCTCCCTGTTAGAGGATCTGCTCTCACAGAGTATGTGGAAGGACACGTGTTACAGCTGCTGATTCAATACCTATTTGGGGATTGGATTTTGCATTTTTTAGTATTTTAAAGACCTGCTGGTGATGAAAAATTTTCCACTGGCTTTATCCATTGCCTAAAAATAACATGTTCTTTGTGCGTGACCCAGACTCCTTTACCCACATAAAGGTAACCTATGTTTGACATGAATAGAGAATTCTAATTACAATAGGTAAATAGGCTTCTGTGTTAACTGAATTGGACTAAATGTGATTTATTGTGAATGGGAGGCTTTTGGGATCCTCCAGTTCATTGAAACTAGTGTTTTATTTTAATTTCAGTGCTGATTAGAAGACTGGGATCCTCCAGGAGTTCATTGAAACTAATATTTTATTTTAATTTCAGTGCTGATTAGAAGAAAAGTTGCATTCTGTGAGAGACACTGATCTGAATTTTTCCTGGGTTACAACTCTGTGCTTGGTTTATCCGCAGCAGACTGCTTAGTTTAATTGCAAGCTTTTGACAGTTACCATCCTTTCCACTCAGCTGTCCCTGTGTTCTCATTTGGTTTTGTCTGTTTTAGGCTGGAGAATTGGAAAAGGGGAAGGTTATGCAGACATGGAATATGCAATGATGGTGTCAATGGGTGCAGTGCAGGAGGATACACCTGTAATTACCATTGTGCATGACTGTCAGGTAAGTTAAAATATCCACTCTCAAGTGACGAGTCAGAACTGTGTGGTCCTGAATGGTACCCCTCAAGAAGAGACTTGGAATGATGTTGGTGAAGCATCTTTACTTTGTTTCCGTTGTCACTGACGGATTTTCGTATGTTGTGAGACATCAGGAACGGTGTGCAATTTTGGTGAATTTGTTTTTAATTATTTACTAAGTCTTTTGTTCTTTGTAGGTGGTTGACATAGCAGAAGAGCTTCTTGATGATCACGATTTAACTGTGGATTATATACTCACTCCAACAAGAACTATCAAGACTAATTGCAAACGACCGAAACCTCAGGGAATATTATGGCATAAGGCAAGTTACCTCTCCTAACAGTGGTTTACTGGTACTGACATTCTGTTGATACGTCCCCCATTTTTACATAAAACCACCTTTGTTGTATTAGAAATACTTGGAAAAGGAGCAAGTGTGTTTGTCAAATGAAACAGAACAGCAGCAGATGTATTCAGTGTTTTTTAGGTGATAATGTTGAGGAGGAGAAATATACTATTGAAGCTGAGGTTGCTGTATCAAATGGATTATAGGGTGAGAGTCACTGGAAACATTGTGGATTTTTAAGATAGACATAATTTCTTGTAGTCGTTTGCGGTATAACAGTAAGCTGAGGGGCTTCTCCACCTTGTGTTTTATTCCTCAGTGCTCATTGAAATTGTCTCTGCTCTTTTTCTGGAGACAGCACCATAGAGAGAACCTTATGGCATTAGGCCACATGGAATGGGCAGAAAATGTGCTGCTCTGGTCGTGAAAGGAAAGTATGACCTAGTGGCTGGTACACTGCTGTTTACGTAGTGGATGTGTGGGATTAATTTCCAAAGGATAGATGAATTTGTGGCTGGAGCTCATTTTCAGGTAGAGGAATAGTGTCTTTATACTGCTTTAAATCATGAATCGTTATTTATTGATAAATATTGTTTTATGGGTTTGACCTCCCCTTACCCCAAGATTGTCCCAAACTTTAGCAGCTTTGCAAACGGTTTCAGAAAAGCATTTAGTGAATTGTTTTACTGGAAGTTCATGCTGGGAAAACTTTTTCTTTGTCATTAGATTTTCATTCCTAAAATCATTCCATTAGGGAGCAGACACAATCCTGCATGATTGAGTCACAGTAGGAACACTGAAATGAAGAATAGTGCACCCATGTCTTGCAGAAACCACTGAGGAATTATTAGTGAATACTTCTAGGGAAATCAAGAGTTGTTTGTTAAGCACTTGCCAAGCAGCAAAAAGAGTTAAATTTGTTAAGGTAATGTATCTACAACAAACAATTCTAGCCAGTACTATTTTTATTCCTATGGTGGGAGAGTATTTTACCCTGCCTGTGGTTGAGGATTTGAGGTTATAAATAAATAAATAAAAGCTCTGTCTGTACTAGTGCATTTTTTCCATTGAATTATTTTTGAATCGTAATTTTTTTAGGATATTATTGAATGTAATTGTTTTAATGGCCTACCCCTTGTGCCCCAGCCATCTTGCCAACATACTTTTGATCCGCAGTCTGTCTGTCTTAGTGTCAGACTTCAATCTCAGTAACATTTGCTAACATTTTGTCACTTTTTCTGTCTGTTTCCATTTAGCAGGGACACTTTTCAAAGGTCTGGGGAACAGAGTCTCTTGCAGGGGTGGTTAAACTTTTGTGCAACTTTTACCATTCATGAAAAGTCAGTCAGTTCCAAGCACTGTATCAAATTCAGTGTTACCTTTGCATTTCTTTCCTCTTTAGAGAAAAAAATCAAGATAAATGTTCTAATGTACACCTCATAAACTAATGAAGTGTTTGCCACAGCTCCTTTGTGCTTGTGTCTAAACCTTGAGGAGGTGCTTGGTAGAGTCATATCTAAAGCTTGTGCCACGCTGAATTCAGTCAGTTTGCATGAGACAGTGAACTTTTTTTCCTGTAGTAATCTCTACATTAGTGGTGTTTTCTGAAAGACACAGCTCTTGGTGAATTTCCTACAGCTTTCACTGAGAATGGAGCACATTTTACCATCAAACCTTTATTTGAATATTTGAATTTTGGTTTAACACCTAAAACTGCTTTTGGCTGGGACTCTTTAGTCTGGAGAAGAGAAGGCTGAGGGGAGACCTTATCAACGCCTACAAGTATCTCAAGGGAGGGTTGAAGGAGGAGGGAGCCAGACTCTTTTCAGTGGTTCCCACCGAGAGGACGAGGGGCAACGGGCACAAGTTGGAACATAAGAGGTTCCACTCAAATATGAGGAGAAACTTCTTCACGGTGAGGGTGACGGAACCCTGGAACAGGCTGCCCAGGGAGGGTGTGGAGTCCCCTTCTTTGGAGATTTTCAAAACCCGCCTGGATGCAGTCCTGAGTAACATGCTCTAGCTCTAGGCAATCCTGCTTCAGCAGGGGAGTTGGACTAGATGATCTCTATGGTCCCTTCCAACTCTAGAAATTCAGTGAAATTCAGTGAAATTCAGAGCATATGTTGATTAGATAAGAATATTGCAGATTACTGGCCAGAGCAGGGGTAATCATACATTTCTGTTATTCTAGGAACACAGTTTTCTGTCTGCATGAGGAAGAAAGAAATTAGGGTTACTCTTTCACGGGGAGCTGAACAAATTTGTATATATTTTGTTGGTGGTTGTGGTGGTAATGGTGTCATCAATTCTTGCACAGAGGGTCTTGGAGGTGGGAGGTCTAGTTAATCGACAGGGTGTCGAAAATGCAGGATTTGATAGGAGGTATTTAGGTGTTTATCCTTTGGCTTTTCCTAGCTGCTTCTACATCCTTTCCTCCTCCTTTTCTCTGCATCCTTTTCTCCTTCAAATCCTGGCTTTACTGGTGCATTCTTGTTCCCCAGAGCAAAACTAAATGAACCAAGAGGTAGTGGGTAAATAAATAACCCACTTCTAAATATGGTGTTTTGTCAACAGAAAGCAGCTTAACTTTATTGTTAAGGTGTGTGATGCGTAAAATACACTGCAAAAAAGTTCATCCTTCAGGAACATGGCTGGATCAAGCCAAGACAATGATTTAAGAGCTTAAATTAAAGGTGTTTGCAAACATGGGATTACAGCTAAGCATTGTTGTAAAGGATGTTCGTTTTTTTAAACTATTAGGATGAATAGCCATTAATACCTACACTGTGTTTTCAGCTCAAAAGAGGTAAAAACAAAATGCATGTCTCCAGGCTAGATTTCTGTGCTCAAAGAGGTATTGCTTTTCCTGGAGTGTTTTTGCTTGTCATGTGCTATGTAGGAAGTAGTGTGTCAGATATGGGGATGGGGTAAATAGGTGTTACTCTATGAGTAAATGATTCACTTCTTGGGGTAATTGGCATGATTTGCCCTCAGTTGCCTCTTTCCAGTTCTTCTCAGCGCAGAACTTCCAGCTGAGCTATTTCGTGCTGTCGAGGTAGTTATGTTTTTCCAAACAGGAAGATGTGAATTACTTGCTGTGATTTTTGTCGTAGAAATCCTGATTTAAAGACTTCCAAGGAAGTGTAAGAGCCACAATACTATTAATACCAAAGAAGCTTTATCTGTATCAGTGCTAGGTGCTCTAGAAACACATCTAAATACAGAGGCTGTACTGGAGTGTGTATATAGGTAGGTTTTTTGCGTCTGAGTTCAGGGTTTTGAGAAATCAGTATGTGCTCCTGGAGGACAGCAGGAGCTGCTAAGAGCTGAGCACTCTGGAAAACTTTTATTTGGATGCCAGTGGAGAATTATTTGGCTTCATCTGTCTTGAAAATCTAACCCATTGTTTCTGGGAACTCTAAATTCATGAAACGACTTACTTTCTCATTTAGTATTTTGTATGGAGTAGCTGTGATCTTTATCTGTGACACTGTCTATTATATTTGTCACAATTATGAAGTTATTTGTGCTGTGCTTATTTTAAATTGACACGATACAGACCAATTAAAATATTTGGGGTCATGAAGAGGGAAATGAGAGTAGTTGGTGGAAAAATCACTAGATCCTAGCAAGCATTTCCTTCTGTTTCTTTAATCATTCTTTTGCTGAGAATTTTACAGAAGTAGGAAAAAAAAATTCCCAAAATGAAATGAACTGGGGGAAATCCCTGGGTCTAATGTTGAAAGAGTTCACAGTGGCAGAGATGGAAACTATCTGACAACAAACAGCTTTTGATTCGGGTCTGTGATAGAATATTTGGAAAGTAAAATGATGTTGTTTCAGAGCTCAAAAAATTCACACATTGTAGCTGGCAAAACCTTCAGCGGGGACAGAGTGTTGCTATCAGAAGAAAATTGCTGTCAGTTGAGCCAAGGTTTGTTTTATTTTGTTGTTTGGAGGGATAGCGTGAGCAGGGCACGTTTCCACGCGTGGTTAAACATCTCAACACCTTTGCAAATCTGACCCTTGCTGCAGAGTCCATGGAATCAGTTTTTGCTGATGGATTCCAAATGTGGGTTGCATAAGTTTCTCCTGAGGGACACTAGCAGACTTCACGGGCTGCCAGCTCCCAGAAATATGCCCTCGGATTGCGTGCACATATTTGGACATTTTGTGCAAATGAATGATAAAATGTTCGACTGTGCTGGCCTGTCCTAGCTGTCTTGGCTTTGTCTGTGCTTTAAATCCCTGTGAGTTCAGTGCTCCTTGATTAAGGAGACAACACAAGAAATGGGCTCTGTCCTGAAGTCGAGGGTCAGAGACCACTCAGGGTGTGTGGAGATGAATATTTCAAACACCTTCTGTCCACCAGCCTCAATATTCGGAAGGGCTGGTGGATCTGCTGTACTAAAGATTGTTTGGTCTTGTTTTCAGCTTCCATGGTAAGGAAGGGCAGCAGCAGCATCTCCCTCCATCTCGAGCTGTGTGTTCTTACATCAGTTGGTGTGTGCAGATGGGTGGCTGTGTGAAGCAGAATCAAATAGCAGACCTAGCATGCTCTCCAATCGATAGCTGCCCTGCCCTCCTCTGCCGTACATCACCACTGCACTGCCTCTGCTGCCAGGGAAATCAAAGTGGTGTTTGGCTTGGCCTGCACTGTATCAGGGGTCAGCATTACTCATTCTGTCAGAGGACAAACACATCTTTCATTTTCCCCAGCAAAATATTGAAAGTGGCTGCGTTCACTGTTCTGGAATAACAGAGGGTTATTCCAGAGAGCCCCGATGTTCCAGCAGAGACGTTGCAGAAGTCCATCTGCCAGTACGTTGTTTTGGGACCAAACCAGGTGTTGTAAGAGTGGATGCTCAGGGTTAAGTGCTGGGAGGTTTGTATTGGCCCTCAGCATCCAAGGCTGTTTTCTTCAGGTTTCTGTCAGAAAAGGGGCCACATTTCCCTTCTCAGCTCCTTTCCCATAGCCCTGGTAATTGTGTGCCAGAAGAATTCATCTACCCCGCTGTCCTCTTTCCCCAAGGCTCTCCCAGCTATGGCAGGGAGCGGGCAGGATTGTTAAATGATTAATTGCCTTTGGTGGAGTTATTTTTAACCTGAATCACTTCAGTTACTGAGTTTACAGCACAGACCCACAAGCCCTTCTCTTGGCCAACCCCAGAGGGCTGAAGTATGGAACCGGCCTGGGAATTGGTGGTCAAGGGATAATAGGAAACTTCTTCAGCTGGCTTCGGTGCCAAAGCCAATCATTAAGCTCAATCCCAACACTCAATACGAAGTTTACAAACATCAATAAATGGTTTGGCCTTGATTTTATAGGGTTGGGGGAAGCAAGGGCAGAAGCTTCCTCCACTGGGTTTGCCCAGGTTCACGGAACTGGATCAACCAGATTTTGGGGTAGAACCCAAGCCCCGTGCATCCTCACTTAGCCTAAAGCAGCAGGCAAGGCTGGGGAGGAGTGACCAGCCGGCACAGGACCAAGAAACGTGCAGCTTGTTTGAAAGAGAGGAGGAATATCTTTGGCCTCCCTCCACATGGAAATAAATCATTGCAATCCTCCACAGCTCACAAGACAAAAGAAACTTTTTGCATGATCGTAATTAGCAACACATTGTACTACCACAGAGTTCTTTTGTTTGCTATTTTGCAACAGAGCAGAGCAAGCTTTTTCCTCTCCTCTGCCACCCACTGCCCTCTTTGCCCTTTTGGCTCTCACCCCTTGCACCCCAAAAAAGGTAGTGAATTGGTTTGATGAAAGCCCAAACTCAGTTTTTGCCTTTCCTTGACATATAAGTGGGGAAAAATAGGGAAGGATTTGAAAGATTTGACCCCGCTGAAAGAATTCTCCAAGACCCCAGGGAAAACAGCCCTTAAGGTAAATCCTCTGTCTCTTTTATGCAGCAGAAGGATGTCATTTGACAGTGTCAGAACTTGTCTAATATAGGGTTCTTTACAGAATGTTTTCTATTACAAGAAAAATCCCAAGTGCCAAATCAATTGCCTTTGTTGCTTTGGTACTGAAAAGACTACTTACTGTTATATCTGCAGAGGGCTGAATTTAAGGTAGTGATAGGTTCACTTCATGATGGTGTTTGTTCAGAGCTTCAGCTTTTATAGAAAGTAACAGTTCATAGCCCTTAGGAAGATGTATATGCTGTTGTAACGACATCTTCCTGACTTTGCAGGGAGCCTGAAACAGTAGCTCCAAGAGCTCCAGTCAGATGCCAAAAACTACTGATGACTCTAGTGAGGGAAGGGGCCATGTTGAAGCCTGGCCAGTTGAAGTGTCTCAGAGAGTGTGCTGGTCCCTGGTTTATCTAAATCCTCTCCTGGGTTTGTCATTGAAAGGCTGGGAGTTCCTGAGATTATCCTCTCGGTGCCTACCTCTTTGATTCCCTTAATCTACAACGTGTTGAGGGTTTGCCCTTGGTAGCATTGATCTTTCTAATGAAACATCCAGTCCATGCCTTGGGAACTGAGTTTAATTTCAGGGTGAAAGGAACTGTACGTACACTTGGTAAGAGGTTGAGGTTGTGCTTTGGAGTGATGAGTTGCATGAGAATAGAAAAATGTTATTCCTGTTTGGTTTAATTAGCATAGAGCTTACATTTCACATAGAAATTTGACAGAGGACAACAAATGTTCCTAATTGTTGGCCAGTAAAAACAAAGTAAGATGGCTTCAGCCATTGGTTTGATGTTGTATTGCCCAGGGAAGGGGAGTTTACTGTCAAACACAGCAGTCTGAATTCTTGGCTGAGAAAAACAAATCAGATCAAGAATCCACAGAGCAATAATTCTTCAAAATCTGAATATGGCATATACCTTTCAGAGTGTGGAGGCTCCCAGAGCCCCAGAGGAAGTCCTTGCCTTGCTGTACTGCCTGCCAGATCAGGCCAGATTTGTTCAGAAATATTTATCAGTCAGAGTTTGTTTGTTTAAAGGGCCTGATCCCAAACACCTTGATTCTGGGTCTTCAGTGTGGCAGAATGGGGGTGGCCACTGCCCACACTGGTTAGTCCTGTTCTTCTCTTAGATAATATATTAACAAGATAGAGCTAGGACAGGCTTTTTGTAAATCATATTTTTATTTAGTTTCAGCCTGAAATAGACTGTCCTTGTTTGCTCCTCAGAAGAGGAGCCCTGGGAATGTTTCAGAGACTTCTCTTGACTGGCTTTCCTGTTACCTAAACCTAACGCTGCCCTCACCCCGTCTTTGATTTTCCTCAAGGCGCTTCAGAGTGGCACTATTCTCCCTAGAGATCTGTAAATTTACAGACTTTGTGTGGTGCAGCCTGATCCAGACTCACTCTGACTCTAATTGTAGAACCAGGAATTCAGGAGCTCTGAGATGAGAGAGATCTGAGCTGGGAGATCTGCAGGCACATTCTAGGCAGGAGAGTCCAGCAGAGCCTGCTGAGTACCCTGCTAGAGAGGCTTGCTCACACTGTGTGGGCTACTAGCTCGGGTCTCTCCTAGCTCAGGCATTGCTTCCCTAGGCTCTGTTTTGCTCCCTAAATTTAAGAATTGGATCTCGTGTTGATGGATGTTCTGCTTGTCCAGCAGCCAAGTACGAATTATTCCTCCTTCCAGCTGCAGTCTGCAAGCCAAAAGCTAGACCGCATTAGCTGGGGAACCACTGTGTTTCCTGCCAGTCACTGAGTGCAGCCTGGGGCATCTCATGCCTGAGATGGATAGGGTTCAGCTGTTGAGAGGAAGAGCCCTTCCAGAAGAGCTGCTTGTGAACTTGGGGTTGGATGGGAGGGACAGAGGGTTCACAGTTTTGAAGTACAGTGTCCAGGCCCTCTTCCGTTCTGTGATCCAACCCAGCAGACTGGGGTGGTGTGGGATCTGATGAGTAGCTGCGGGTGGTGTTGGGAGGTCAGATGACAAGAAGGGAGGCTGTGGTGATGTGCCACCACCAGAGAACGTGCCTCCAGCTGGGCCCACACTCAGAGGAGCCCCGCTACAAGGCACGCTCCCCAGCTGCAAACTTCACACCATCGTCCCTCCCCATTGTACGGCCCAGCCTACGGGATATCCTGTGTTGGGGGGAAAAGAGCACGAGGAGGGCTGCAGAATGAAAGTGCCTGATGGTCTGATGAATTGTCGGCGGGTAAGATTCTGCCAGAGCAGGAGCACAGGCCCTTGGTCAAAGCAAATATTAAGGGATAACAATAAGAATGCAAATCCGAAAGCATCCTGATAAATAAATGTCAGAATCTAATAGTTCTGAGTTTGGTTTTGATTTTCCTGCTGGATCTACATTGTACTGCTTGCTTAAAGAGTAATAATGTTTATTTTTGTCCTACAGTGTGTATTTAGGGAGCAGCTTCAGAGTCAGGCCAGCAATTAATAACAATTTGAATGCTCTGGCACTCTGAATGGTAGCAATTTTGTAAGGTTCCTCTCTTTTTATGGTGCAAATGGGTCCTGATGGTCTTACCCTTTTTCTGGAAGGGGAGAAATCTCCTAATTGTATCTGTCTTCCTCCTTTTTAGGTCAGCTATGAGATGCTGGAAAAAATCCCCATCCTAAAAAGTCTTCGATACAGAGAGAAGCAGGCTGGCAAGGATGTTACCCTCCAAGATGAACATTCAGACTTGGCACATGCCACCACGTTGGATGAGAAGGCGATGGCTGAAAACACAAGACCGCAGGCTGCAGCGGGCTCAGCTCAAAGAGGACAACCTTACGTTGAAAGCGATCCTTTAAGTCCCAGATTAGGGGGATCTGGCACGATGACTACTGTGTATGTGGGGAACATACCTCCCAGCGTAAGAGTGAGCGAGCTGAAATGTGCTTTAAGGGAATTCCACGCGACTCCTTTACGACTGAGTTGGCAAGGAGCGCAGCGCAGGGCTTTTCTCGATTACAAGGATAAAGCAACCGCAGAGAGTGCTGTATCCTCTTTGAAAGGCTTGAGCCTCGGGGGTCATACTTTGCGAGTTGAGCTGGCCAAGAATCAGAGAAACAAAGGGCAAGTTGAAATCAATAGTCAGAAAGGAGTATGAAGAGAGGGAAAAAAAAAAAAAAAAGAAAAAAAGGAGTTTTCATTGTTTTGTGAGAAGCCAACCTAAGTTTTCAAGGGTATTAGTATATCCTCTGGTTACTGCAGGCTAAACAGCAAAGTGTGAAGCCAACTTTTCAGAGAAATGAGGCATACATCTCACAGCTGACTTGCCTGCCTCGTTCCTCCAGCTGTACATGCAAAGTGTATTTGTCAAGACAGATGAGAGGAGGACTGTTTCTCCATAAACAGTTATCCACAAAATACCCACACTCTGTGTATTTGTTTTTTGTTGGCCAGGGGTTGATTTGCTGCTCGGTGTGTACATTTGTTAGGCCTGGATCAAAAACCTGCCCCTTGGGAGCTGTGTGCAGCCACATGTAGCGAGGTGATTGTGTTCTGTCATCTGAAGGTTGTACCTGCAGATTTGTACTCGTGAGCTTAAAAGCCAGCTGCAGAAAATCTGTCTTAAGAGTTACAATTCTGTTTACTAAAAAATAGGGTTTGCCTGTTGGGAGTTTTTGGGATATTTTTCATAAAAATGGCTGGGGGGAGAGATTGCCCTTATTGTGCTCCTGAAGAAGGGCTGTGGAAACACTGGCTCAGCCACTGAGTTCTGTAATAGCTATTAATGTCAGGTGGAAGAAATGGTAGCCCCTTTCTCAGCTTTGTTTTGTGAATCCAGCCTTTAGTAAACCTTGTATTTCTTATTTCAGTCCGGCAGAGGAAAGTGAAGACCAGTTTCTCCTCTGCTTTTCCCCCAAACACTTCAGTTACCTTTTTCATGGATGCAGATAATTATAAAATAGATACTTTTTCTGATTGTCTTGTCTCTTATAATTTGGTGTGATCCCATTGCCTCTGTGAAATTGCATTAATATACAACCGCTGTAGTGGAAATGAAAAGCAGACAGACCATGGTCAAAACCTGTGGGTGACTTGAGATGTTTGGAGGGTTGCTGGAGATGGGAGCAAAGCCTGGTCCTGCCGTGCCTTTTGTCACCACCAGTGCAGTCTTCCTGCAACCACACCATCAGACTCTCTAACCATGAGGGTTAGAGAGCAGCACGGGCAACTTTGCATCATGAAAATGCTGTTAAGTACTACCCTGAACAGTAAGATTTGCACACATGTGAACATTCACTTACGACATAAAGGAGAATGATGATTTATTTGGTATGGCTATTATTACTTCTCTTTTTTTTCTTCCCTTCGGTTTCCTATTCCTGAAAAACAAGTTGAATTTTGGCTGAACCATCCTTTCTAAACAGAAGCACTTTTGCCATCGATGCTGGGCACATAGTCAAAGTAAGCATCTAAATGGATATTTTTTTAAGTATGAGTTGGAAACTTTTTTTAGCCAGAGGGTACTGATAAGTATATTTTAAGCGCGTTATTATGCCTCAAGGGTCAGACCTTTCGTACAGTATTAAATAAAAAGTTCTTGTCATTGTCATGTACTCTGTAGAAAGGGATTCAAGGAAAGCATTGCTTCAACTTCTTGTAAGATCAGCAAAAGAAAGGTTTCTGAAAAAAAAAAATAGTGCCAAACTCTACAAAGCTCTCTTTTTCTCCAGCTCAAAATTATTTTCAGTATCACTCAGTCTGAAATAACGTAATCACTGCAGGGTCCTCTGCGTCTTGTTTCAGTGCTTGTGCACTCCAAGAGTGTAAGAGTCAGGGGTTATGTTACTACTTAAACATACTCATTACATCATGAACTTTGAAAGGGAAGGAAAGAAAAGCAAAAAAAAAAAAAATGACATGTCACTGCCTTTCCCTTCCTAATGATGGCAAATTAAGTAATGCAATCATGCGATGTTCTTTTTGACTCTTACAGTACTGCTTGCTTTGGTGAAGATGCCCAGCTGACCTTAGCAGTTCAAAAGCAGCTGTTCTGCCAGTGAAAACTTCCAGCACCTCAAACTTCCCTTGTTGCATTACAGGTCGAACCAGCCTTTCCTGGTCAAATTTGTGGGAATTTCATCCTCTGCCTTACTTCCTTTCTTTACATCTGAGGTTTCAGTGCAGATACATTTACATGTTATGTGATATGTAGATGTGTTACGTTTCCTTGCTTTGCTCTCGGTGCTGCCTCCAGTCAGTGGCCAGTTTTCTTTGGACAAACACGTCTAGATGGTTTTTTGTGTTTGCAGTTGTGGTTCTGTGCGTAACCCACAGGGTGAGCTGTGCTAGGGCTGTGTCCAGGTGGGCAAATCTCTGCAGTTCTCTTCCAGCCTGGCACTTCTTTCTGTCCTGTATTGGTTAGACCACATTGCACAGTACTAATATCTTATTGCTTTCCCAATAGGCAATTAACCATCCAAACGGCTATTTTCTTCCTTATATATATCTATATATATAAGATATATATATAAGAGATATATATTTTTAATATATAGATAGATATAAGATCCAGGTTATTTACAGCAAGGTCTTTTGGGCCTTATCATCTTAAAGTCATTAAAGAGTGTTTTTAATTCAATTCTATATATTGATAGATAGATATATATATCTTTATATTATATATTTTATATATGGTATATAAATAATATATATATTTTTTCTTCTTATCTATATTTCTTTCTTATTTCTATCTCTTCTACAGAGAAGATAATAACTAGGCATATAGCCATATACACTAGAGGTATGTAGCTGTAGTTAGGCTCAGAAAAGAAAAATAATTACCATAAGCTTAAGCTAATGCACTATTCATTAGCATTTTGAATGGACTGGAATAATGATGATGATGATGCTATATTTGTATTTCCAACTTAAGCAGTTGTTCTTGATCAAGGTTATTAATAAACAGCAAGGTCTTCTGGGCCTTACCATCTTAAAGTCATTAAAGAGTGTTTTTAATTCAAAGTAGCAGCTGCTCCCGGCCAGGGTTTGGCAGCCTGTTGCAAACCCATCTGCACCAGCAGCTTCAAGTTCATTTCTGTCATCCCTGCTTCAAGAGCAACAACCTGCAGGGAAGGAATTAGTGCAAGCTGCTATTGAAAATGGAGCCTGGAGCTGCAGAAGGCTCACCAGGGTTCAGAGCTTCTTGCAAGGGTCTAGTAGTAAGGGCTTACATGGAGGCAAAACAATAGTCCTCAGAAACCACTTTTGGGTTGCCGTAGGAGTCCCATAGGGAAAACAAGAACTTGAATATTTACATTCTGAAAAAAAAACCCACAAAAACAGCACAACTTGCAGCAAAGCTGTTCTATACAGTTACCTGTGAGGAGGATGGTATAGGTCACGCTCTTTGAAAAGTATCACGTACCAACGCAGCAGGAGTTTGAGCCTCTGTGCTCTAAAGTCAATGCAACGTCTGTCTTGGACACAAGGGAAGCAGTGACAAGGATGGGGCCCTTAATGCCACTTGGGAAGTTGCTCATCTTTAGCTAAAAGACATTTCAGTGCAAAATGCTAAATTGCTATTTAATTAAGTAATGCAAGACTGCCCAAGGCACACGCCTACATGGCCTTCTGGTGTCTGGGGCTGTATGATGTGGATTTTTTCTTGTGGGCTGACCAAGTTCCTAGTTGGGGAAGCAGCAGATTTTGAAGGAAAAAGTGAATGGAGCACTCTGCGTCTCTTAGATCTATTGTTTCAGGCTCTCTGCATGCTCAGGAAGACATCCGTTATGCATGAGTCACTTCTGACTTCCAGTCCACAAAACTCTGAAATGCAATACATTTTACTGAGTCCTTGGACTCTGATCTCATAATGGAACTCCAGGAACCAAAGACTGCTTATATCTTATTGTGGCCCAGACCAAAGATAGATACTTTACCAACAATCAAACCATGAAGTCCATGCCCTGAGGAATTTACAGTCTGAATTAACAGGCTTTAAAGGTGAGAACCTTTACTCAAATAATAATTCTTCATTCTGTACCCCTTGTAGTTCTGGCCCCGCTGATAGCTGCTTGGTTGAACTTGGCTATTAACAGCTTGTGCCTCATCTCAGGTGCTTACAAGCCCTTACATCCCTGATCTTGCTGTGGCTGAAGGACCAGTCTAGGACTGCAGAGCCCTTGGTGCTTCAGGCCAGTTCTCTCTAATGCCTTTCTGTGACCGCTCACACCTGGAGCCATGGGGAGAAGGCATCTCCCACCACTTCTGGTCTCTTTCTGCAAGGACAGTGGGGCTCTCATCATGAAGACATCTACAGTGACAAAAGAAGTGCCTGGATGCTGCAGAAAAGTCTGAAACGCTGGTGATAGATGGGTAAGTCTGCTCATGATGGAGAAGGCAACGATCCCCAACACAGACTGGGTTTCAGCTCCCTCGCAGCAGCGGAGGAGCCCGCGCTTCACTGCTGGGTGATGAGAAGAAAAGTTCAGCAGTACAATGGGAAATACTTGACTGAGCCAACTTTGTTCAGAAGTAATTAAAAATGAGGTCTTTCTATTCTCTCTGCAGCCTGATGGCCTCGCTTGTCATGTGGCTGAGCGCATTCTTTCCAGCTCCTTTCATGGCACAAACAAGTCGGGATGTTGTTGTTGCCCGTCCCTCTTTTTTCCTTTTTTTTTTTTCCTTCTTTTTTTTTTTTGGAGGGTTCAGAGGGGAAAGATGCTGAGCTGCTCCAGAGGCTGGTTGGTGTGAGCAAACCCAGCTCCTCTCTCAGGGTGTGGGATCCAGCAGCGACCACCCCAGGTGTCACAGCACCCACAGGACCTTCCCAAGGTGACTCTGAACCCTCTTCCTACCCTCACTTGTGGGAGAGATGCAGAGAGAAAAGAGTTTGGGATGAATGGAGCCTCTACCAGATCCGTGAGGCTGGAGAACACGGTCACTTTGGAGGGGATGTTCTTTTGTTGAATGATATTAGTCACAGCGTGGTGTGTGGCACAGAGCAGTGAGGCAACATTGTGATCTGCTAACAATAAAAAGCGAGGTGGCTAAGTGCCACTCGGCGCTGAAAACTATACAATCATCAGGGTTTTCCTTCAGACAGCTATGGCCATGCATTTCCTGGAACGAGGACAAGGCCACACAGCTTCAATCCACCCAAGACAACAGCGAGTAAACAAGCCCTGTTGCTGTGTAGTCTTCTCCGGGTGACAAGAGTCAGAGACTGTTTGTTTCTATGGAGAGAAAAAGGAAAAAAAAAAAGAGAGGATCCTCAGATCCTCAGCATCAGGGTGGGAAGGGAGTAAAGCCCTCTCCTGGGTCCCACAGCCAGGTCCCCATCCAGCCCTCCAAGATCTCCATGCACATCATCCCTGGTCCCCTCCCAGCAAGGGGTCTTTAAGGACAGAGGCTTCAGCTCATTATCTTTGGAGACCAATCCAATATATCAGAAAAGGGGATGGTTAAACACTGTCTTCAAGTCACGACTTTTTTTTTTTTAATTTCATCATCTTCTACTGCTCCAAAGGGAGCAAGAAATGGTTTTTAGGGGAAGGTTTCCATTGAAAAAAGAATAAAAAAATCTAGTATCTTCCTCCACAACTGCAGTGAGGGGCGAGGAGGGGGAGGAAAAGCCTGTGCTGGGATTTCTCTCATTCCAGTTCCTCAGAAGGACCAGCCCCGTGCAGCAGTTCTGGCTCTGGAGGAAACATCTGTGGTGGTGGCCATGTTACTCAGGCAAACATACCCCTCCGTGAGGCGGGCTGCTGCGCACGAGGGCTTTAATTTCCTCGTTGCCATCTCTTAAAGATTATCTCCCTGCAAGAAAAGCGCCCCGTTTCCCATGTTTTCATGTGTAACGTCCGCGATGTCTGCTATAAACATCATGAGACGTTTCCCTGCCCCTCCTTGCGCTGACATGGGTGTAAGAGTCGTTGCTTTTCATCTTTCAAAGCACTGCAGAAATGTTTAGGGTCG